TGGCCGCTTTTTCATCGAGAGATACATCTTTTCCTTTAACTGTAGTAATTTCTTCCAATAAAACCACTATATCAGAAATTGTTTTTGCAAGTTCTACTGTATTGCTGATATGATCATCTCCAAAATGAAAATTTTTTGCTTTTCCAAGAGCATCTTGATATTTGCGAGTTTCTTTCTCTAATTCTATATATTGTTTCTTTAAATTTTGAACTTCAATATCTGCAGCTTGGCTTTTATATTGCCATCGTTGTCTTTCTGATTCAAGACGTAAATTCAATTCTTGACAAGAATTTTCTAATGATCCACTTGTTATGGTAGCCTCATTAAATAGTGACTGCAACTCTTTTTTTGCTTTTTCTAATTCTTCATTTTGCTTTTTGAATTTGTCATTTGCATTTTGCATTCTCTGAAATTTTTCACTTGCATCCTTAGCATTAGGATTAAATTTCATATTCTCATACTTTTCAGCTTTTTCTTCATGTCGACCTTGAATGAATTTTTTTAAAGAAAATAAATTTTTTTTTCAATTAATCGGAAATTTATGATTTATTTAATTTTTTTAAAATCTCACCCGTGTGATGGTTATGGTTTATATGCTTCTTTGGTTTTCTGGTTGGCAACGGTGGTGGTGCCCCATTACTTGACATTATTCGAACCTTTGATTATAAAAATCTTCGTTTAGAATTATATAAAATATTTCGTCGGAGATAGATGTAGGCTGAGCTCAAATGTTGTCAATCCTCTTAAATTAAGCTAATATTTGTAGTACGACAATTACGAATATAGGGTTTCATTTATTTCATGCAAAAAATATACTTAATTAGAATAAATATTATACAAATAACACCAAGCATAGCAGAAGTTCGTTTTGATTGGTTGATAAAATACACCGGAAAGGATGTCGATCATACCTCGGATCATATTCCGGATAAAGTTTTGATCATATCCCAATAGTTGATAATAAAATGCTCTAAAAGATTCTGATTTATATTTTTTTTTATATTATACGTTTTTTCTCTAGTTTAGATTTTTATTTGTTTTTATTTTTATTCTAATTTTAATTAATTATTTAGTTTGAACTTCACAATAATCGTAGACTTTAGGTTTTGCCATATGTACTTTTAGATTTCATAATATATTTTATTGGCATAACAGTAAACGCTTTTGATTTTGTGATATATACTTCATTTGTTTTGTAATAATACTTTCAGGTTTCAAGTATAATATATTAACTAGTACAAATAAACCTATTATTAATTTAATTAGAATTAGTATGGCTAAACGTCCATACTTTATAACCAATGCTTATGATCTAAATAGATGCAAACAGAAATTTGAGTGTGATTTAGAATAATACTTTTATACAAGTACTAACGTAAAGACTTTAAAAGTTACAGTAGTTGAGGCAGAATTTCACATAACCTTTACTTACTATGCCGGACTACCTTCCGACCCTTCAAAATATTCACTTCTCATCTAGTTTCTCAAACTTCTGCATCTTATTGCATCAGTTGTTAGAAAACTGTAGCACGTTAAGTTGAAATCTTCACGTATTACAAAAAAAATTTTTTATATGTTGTACTTTAAAAATTACAGTTAACAATATAAAAAAAAAGATCGTCGTCAATCAAATTTATTCTAATTTCAGCCAATAAAAACGAACTTCCGCTATGCTACAACACCATCAATTTCCGATCAC